GCATATGAACAAATCAGGATACAAACAAGGTCATGGAACGGATTAAGTTCGTAAGCCAAGGTTCCACTGTATTCTCAGTAAACTTCTTCTTTCAACCAACAGGCCATTTCCCACAAAGGCAGGGTGGTCCAAAAATAAAAACAAGTTTCTCTTTTTAACTTTAGTAATGTATACAGGAGAAGGGGTTACTAGCCCCTTGCTCCTGGAATTTTAGTTGACTCTTATAACACACATGGCTTATGGAGGAAGAATTCTGTTCCACTTTCCCATGGAGCTAAGAGGAAATAAACAAGAACAAGAACTAGCAAGAAAATAGAAAAAAACTCAGAGGGGTGTGTGTATATATATGCTTGTATAAGCATGAGTAGCATAACCTAAGTGTAAGCAGAAGTAGCAAGATGAACCTGAAATCTTGCATGTTTATGAGACAGAAAAAAGATACCAGCACTCCTCCCATCATGTAAAACAATTACAGGCTTTCGTTTCACTCTCACTTGGTAGGACGGTAGAACCTCCCTGGGCAGCTGCTGTCTGCCAACCTACTACCTAGACTCAATAAACTTATACCCCAATAATTTTTACAATATCCTTTGTCCCCCTTCCCTTTATATGAAGGAACAATACACGCTCTCTGCCAATCCCTAGGTACCTTCCCCTCTTTCATACATTTATTAAACAAAAATACCAACCATTCCAATACAGCTAGCCCTCCACTTTTGCGAGTTCAACTTTCATGAGTTTCAAACATTCGCAAATGCCCAGCTGCCCAATCATATTTCCCAAGCAAATGTGGAAAAAAAGTATGGGAAAACACTTCCCACCGCGTCCCTTACCCCCTCAACCAGCAGCCCGCCAGTCCGCCACTCGCTAAGCCATTGTCCAGTTACTGTTCACGTTGGTTATGTCCAGTTACTGTTCGTGTCCTACCATACACGTGTTTGTGTGGTGGTGCAAGTATGGTCCCAAGGAAGCAGCAACCGCTATTGATGAGCCAACCCCTAAGCGGTCAAAAAACGTCATGAATCTGGAGGCAGAGAGTGAGGCTGAAGAAAAGGAGAGTATTGCTGAGGCCAATCAACCTCAAGCCCTTACCCTTGAAAAACTAAAGCAAGCGATGAGAATGACAGCACAGCTCAAACAATCTTTTTACGACAGAGACCCATCAATGTTGAGGGCTTTGAAGGTGATGAGCAACACTGATAGGAGCATAATTCCCTACAAAACTCTGTTTGTAGATGTGAAAAGGAAACAGTCTCAGTTCCCCATCACAATGTTCTTCACAAGGAAGCCTGCTACTACCCCTGCCGCTAATCCTACCGCCTCACCTGAACCTCAACCCGTAGCAGAATCTGACTCCGTTGCTAAATCTGACTCTAGAGACGTTGGCAGTGACGCTGGCAGTGAAGAGTTAGAATCCACACACTAGACCCATTATGCCATGCAGTTACACTCCATATAATCACCTCCATTCAACTGTCATCAATAACTGCATGGCTAACTATCATCACCATCATCATTGTCATTGTCATCATCATCACAAGTTGTCAGAGTTCTTCTGCCTAATCTTATGAGTGGTGTGTGTTTTGTTTGTTCATTATTTGTTATTAAACCATAACATGTCAATACAATATTTTACAATGTTTTCATGTGTTTTATGATTGTTCATGGTTCAATAGGTTAAGGAAGCAGTACTGTTACTTTAAGTAAATGTTATTATTATATTTCCCTACAATAAATTTGCGCATGCGTGAGCGTGTTCGATAGGAGTGAATGGAGACAAATGGTTTTTAATAATTGACGTAGGTAGGTAAGACACATAGGCAACAGTTAGGCAACTTTATTCCGAAACGTTTCGCCTGCACAGTAGGCTTCTTCAGTCGAATACAGAAAGTAGGCAGGAACAGTAGAGATGTGAAGACGATGTAATCAGTCCATCACCCTTGAAGTCGTAGAATTTGAGGTTGTCAGTCCCTCGGCCTGGAGAAGTTCAGTTCCATATGGAACTGAACTTCTCCAGGCCTTCAGTTCCATATGGAACTGAACTTCTCCAGGCCGAGGGACTGACAACCTCAAATTCTACGACTTCAAGGGTGATGGACTGATTACATCGTCTTCACATCTCTACTGTTCCTGCCTACTTTCTGTATTCGACTGAAGAAGCCTACTGTGTAGGCGAAACGTTTCGGAATAAAGTTGCCTAACTGTTGCCTATGTGTCTTACCTACCTACCTGTCGGTATTGTATACCATTTCAATAATTGACGTGCTGTTGGAGTGTGAGCAAAGTAACATTTATGAAGGGGTTCAGGGAAACCGGCAGGCTGGACTTGAGTCCTGGAGATGGGAAGTACAGTGTCTACACTCTGAAGGAGGGGTGTTAGTGTTGCAGTTTTATAACTGTAGTATAAAGCACCCCTCTGGCAAGACAGTGATGGAGTGAATGATGGTGAAAGTTTTTCTTTTTCGGGCCACCCTGCCTTGGTGGGAATCGGCCAGTGTGATAATAAAAAAATAATAATAAATTTGCGCATCAAAACATTCGCAAACACTATAGTACATTATCATTATATTTCCCTACATCATATTTGCACACCAAACATTCACAAATTTTCAAGATTCGCGAGGTTCTTGATCCCTTAACCCTCGCAAATGTGGAGGGCCTCCTGTACTATATCCCCCCCCCCCCCTGCTTTTAACATTTCTGTCATGATCCCATCAGTTCCAACTGCTTTACCCCCTTTCATTCTACGTAATGCCTCATGCACCTCCCCCACACTCACATCCTGCTCCTCTTCACTCCTAAAAGATGTTATACCTCCCTGGCCAGTACATGAAATTACGGCTTCCCTTTCTTCATTAACATTTAAAAGTTCCTCAAAATATTCCGGTCATCTACCCAATACCTCTGTTTTTAACTGACAAATCCATTCGATCCCTAGGCTTTCATAACCTGTTTATCTCACTACAGAATATTTTCATATTCTCCTTTTGTGTTCTCTTCACTCTTCTTTTACTCTCCATATACATACTCTGCCCTTCATGTATCATTTCTGCTTTGTAAAAATCTCTCGTAAGCTACCTTTTTCACTTTTATCGCACCCTTTACCTCATTCACCAATCACTCCTCTTTCCTCCTGCACCCACCCTCCTATAGCCACAAACTTCTGCCCCACGTTCTAACACTGTATTTTTAAAACTATCCCATCCCTCTTAACCCCTCCCCTACTACTCATACTTGCATTAGCCCACCTTTCTGCCAATAGTGTTTATATCTCACCCTAACTTCCTCCTTCTTGAGTTTATACACTTTTGACTCTGTCTTACTTGCTGTTGCCATTTTTCTTTTGTCCCATCTACCTCTTACTCTAACTGTAGCTACAACTAAATAATGATCCGATATATCCATTGCCCCTCTATAAACATGCACATCCTTAAGCTTATTAACCTTTTATCCACCAATACATAATCTAACAAACTACTTTCATTATGTGCTGTATCATATCCTGTATACTTATTTATCCTCTTTTTTCATAAAATATGTATTACTTATAACCAAATCTCTTTCTACACATAGTTCAATTAAAGGCTCCCCATTTTCATTTACTCCTGGCACCTCAAATTTACCTACTACTCCCTCCACAATATTTTTACCCACTTTAGTACTGAGATCCCCAACCACAAGTACTCTCACACTTGGTTCAAAACTCCCCACACATTCACTCATCATTTCCCAAAATCTCTCTCTCTCTCCTCTACACTTCTCTCTTCTGCAGGTGCATATACATATACTATAACCCACTTTTCACATCCAACCTGTATTTTACTCCACATAATTCTTGAATTTATACATTTATATTCCCCCTTCTCCTGCCATAATCCCGTTTATTTCTCCCCACTGAAACTCTTCTACCCCCTTCAGCTTTGTTTCACTTAGAGCCAGGACATCCAGCTTCTTTTCATTCTTAACATCCAGAATCATCTCTTTCTTATCATTAGCATTACATCCACACACATTCAAACATCCCACTTTGATGGTTTTCTTCTTTTTCTCTTTAGTAAGCTAGACAGGAAAAGGGGTTACTAGCCCACTGCTCTTGGCATTTTAGTTGACTTGAACAACACGCATGGCTTACAGAAGAAAGTTTTTCAATCCACTTCCCCATGAATATGAAAGGAAAAGTAATAAGAACTAGAAATATTAAAATAAAATCAAAGAAAACTCAGATGAGTGTGTATACATAAACATGTAAATATATGTGTGGTGTGACCTAAGTGTAAGCAGACGTAGCAAGACGTACCTGAAATCTTGCACCTTTATGAGACAGAAAAAAGACACCAGCAATCCTACCATCATGTAAAACAAATATGTACAGGCTTTCGTTTTACTCGCTTGGTGGTACGGTAGTACCTCCCTAGGTGGTTACTGTCTACTAACCTATTACTACTTAATATAAATGTTTAATGCTATATTTGATGCAACCTGCTAACTCAGATTCCAATCAGCATTTACTCATGCACCTACTGTTACCACTACAGATCTACCTCCCCTCCCCAATTAATTATTACAAGTAAAATTAATACAATTTTTGCATTACTCTCTCTTCATATTAACATTACCATTTTAATATAATGAACAGTTTTGTTCCTTAAGTAATCTTCCTCCTCAATAATCTTATCCTCAGACAACTTAATTATTTTACACTTGGCATTCAAACAGTATGATTTCAAAAGTACATCTATATAATGTCAAGAAATATTACAATCTAGTTTTAGTCTTCCTGAAATACTCTGCATAACTAGGACTTTTTAAAATGTATGAAATACTGTAAATGTTGCCTAATTTTTTAACTATTAAGTACATTTTACAAATAAAACTTATTTTTGTTTGTTTTTAGGAAGATAAGCAGCATTGAACAAGGCACAAGTCTGGTGAGCAGAAATGCATGTCTAACTAGACTACAAAGCTAATAAACGGAGACAAAAGATTCATATGTCGCTAACCTCTGTAGGAGTGCCCACGAAGGAGCCCACTACACCAGCTGCCATACCTAGACTTGCTTTGACGAGGAAGCTGGGAGGTTCACCATTAGGCCTGCAGAGGAACATCACTTAACATAATATGCATCTTTTCTAATACAGTATTACAGTATACGATTACTACAGCATTATTGTATTCACAAGGAGGCACTCAACTTGGTATGATCACAGAGTGCCCAGTGTGGAAGGAGTAGGGAGAATTAAGGTTTGAGAAGAGGAAGGGGAACATAACTTCAATTCATTGGGTAATGAGCCTCCCCATTTGAAGAATACTGAATTAAGGTAAAGACAACTGAGCAATATATACCTTTGAAGAGTTTCAAGAGTTCTACTCTAAGAGCCTGGCATTGGGCCAGGCTAGTGTGGTGCTTGCCTGGCCAACCAGGCTGTTGCTGCTGGCTGCCCACTGGCCCACATAAACATCACACATACTGGTTGATCTGCCACTTGGTTAAATTACCTGTCCAGTTTCCTTTTGAAGACTTCTACACTTGTCCCAACAGTGTATGTGATATCTTCTGTTAAGGTGTTGAATAGTCTGGGACTACGGATATTGACACAAAGTTCTTTTATTGTGCCCACATTGCCCCTGCTTTTCACGGGGTTTATTTTACACTTCTTCCCATATCTCTCACTTTAGTACACTATGGCAGTGAGCTGATTTGGGACTAGGCTCTCACGTACTTTCAACAAATATTATCATGTCTCTCTTTCTCCTCTGCTACAATGAATACAAATCAAGAACTTTGAGGCTTTCATGGTAATTTAAATACTTTACTGATTCTATCCAGAATGTAAATGATCTCCATATTTGTTCCAGTTCTGATATATCTCCTGCCCTGAACAAGGTTGTCAACCCTGAACAATGCTCTAAATAAGAGAGCACAAGCGATTTGAATAGTGTCACCACTTCCCTTGTTTTGAAAGTTCTCATTATCCACCTCATCACTGTCTTGGCTGTCATGATATCTGTCTTAATATGTTTATGTGTTCTACCAAGGCAATTTTCATGTTTATTTTGGTATTATCCACAAATGATACAAAACTGTGGCTAGTGCTTTTATCTATGAGTGCTGTAAGGATAAGAAACAATAGAAGTGCCAGGAGTACTACTGAGATTTTCACCTCACTAATACTGTATTTTCCTCTGTATCCTACTATTCTGTTCTATCTTTCAGAAAATTCATTTACCTTCCCCATTATGCCTACAGCCCTCATTTTGTGTCCATTCACTCTACGAGAACATCTGTCAAATACCTTTACAAAATCCAAATATACCACATCTGCCTTTTGGTTTTCTTCCAATGCCCCCATAATTCTGACATAGTTGTTTAAAAGTTGTGACAGACATAATCTCTCAGCTCTAAAACCATGCTGGTTTGGGTTGTGCAGATTGTGCTGTTCCATATTATTATTATTATAATCATGGGGAAGCACTAAACCCGTATGATTATACATCATCTATGAGGAGAGGCTTAATTCAAGGAACTGGAGCACAGATCCAATTCCCTAGATCAACAGACCCTCACCAGTGTCAAGGAACCTCCCTTGAGGGGTGTGCTGTTCCATAAAATTTGTAATTTAGCAACTCATCACTCTTCCAAAGACGTTTAATTGGTGAGATGTTAGAGCTACTAGTCTGTAATTTTTGACTCAAAAAAAAAAAAATTGAAATATCCCCCCACACACACACACAAACCCTGACTCAAACCTTGCAACCACATATAGGCAAGTATGCCACGTAGGAAGCAAAGCTGATTCTTACGACGCCAGGTAGCAATAAGAGCAATAAGGCTGCTCTTATTGCTACCAGGCAAGTATGTGAATGCAGACACAAAAAAACTCTGTAAAATAACTATTTTTTATGGATAACACACAATCTATTAGTATATACATGTACTCCAACCTATCCCTATTTTTGCTACTATGCAAGTGACGGGTTTTGTAAATCTTATTTCTATTGTATTTGTATATGTTCTGCTACATTTGAGCATAGATTAACTGTAATGACTATATTATATTAAGGTATCTTTAATCTTTCTTGTTACAAAACAGGAAATGGGTTAATGATAACGACAAAAATTGTGTAACAGAAAACACAAGTTTTTTACCCTGAAGCTTTCTCAAACAACCAAGTATAGATGCCGAGACGTGTGGTAGTGTATGTTGCCTGACGAAGAAGCCCTGCAGAGAGCCCAGAGTAGAGAGCAAACAATCCCTCAGATTTTATCACGTGCTTTATCACATGGTAACTAGTTTTGTGTTCTTTACTTGTTGCGACCTGCATTCTGTTTTTGACGAGGTCCAGAGGCTGGACAAAGCAGGTGGCACCCATACTGTTGAAGAACAAACAAATTAAGAAAATTGTAAATGTCAATTATATACAGCATACAGCAGTACAATTATTGGTAAGCTGAATGAAAAATCAATATTTCTGACAAGTATTGCTACTTTTCTTATTATACATATGATTGTAGTCAACTCATAAGAACTCCTACTTATTAGTCAATGTCTAAATCTTAACTAACTTTCAAGCATTAGGATTAGTTTGCTTGAAATGCTTGGCATATTAGTGGCTGTTTTTTTTTTTTTTTTGGTGCCTACTAGTGTTTTCTTACATGCAAATTACAATATTTGTACCACATAAAACAAGATTAATGCACGTTTTCCCTACACCTTCCTACAATTTACAGTACATGCACAGTGGACCCTCGGTTATCGGCTGGTTTTTCAGCTCCCGGTGATCAGCCGGTTTTTCAGCTCCCGGTGATCGGCCGGTTTTTCGGCTCCTGGTGATCGACCAGCTTTTCGCCTCCCGGTGATCGACTGGCTTTTTGGCTCCCAGTGATCGACTGGCTTTTCGGCTCCCGGTGATCGACCAGCTTTTCGGCTCCCGGTGATCGACCAGCTTTTCGGCTCCCGGTGATCGACCAGCTTTTTGGCTCCTGGTGATCGGCCGGCTTTTTGGCTCCCAGTGATCGGCCGGTTTTTTGGCTTCCAGTGATCGGCTGTTATTTCGGGGATCAGCCGTTTTGGATGCGTCCGTCTGCCGGCTTGAGCCGCTTGCGTGTCAGTTTGGCTGTGTCTTTCGGTGCGTGAGGAAGCTTCTGCTCATACATCCAAACATTTTGCTTGTTTTCCATTTTTTTTGTGGGTTTTTTGCAGTGCAACTGCGAAATAAGTAACCATGGCTCCAAAGAAAGCGAGAAACACCATGGAATTTAAGCGTGAAGTGTCGCAGGCATGCAGAGAGTGTAATAAGCATGCAGGGCGTGTAGCAGGCATGCAAGGAGTATAGTAGGCATGCAGGGAGTGTAGCAGGCATGCAGGGAGTGTAACAAGCATGCAGGGAGTGTAGCAGACATACAGGGAGTGTAGCAGACATACAGGGAGTGTAGCAGACATGCAGGGAGTGTAACAGGCATGCAAGGAGTATAGCAGGCATGCAGGGAGTGTAACAAGCATGCAGGGAGTGTAGCAGACATACAGGGAGTGTAGCAGACATGCAGGGAGTGTAACAAGCATGCAGGGAGTGTAGCAGACATGCAGGGAGTGTAACAGGCATGCAGGGAGTGAAACAAGCATGCAGGGAGTGTAACAGGCATGCAGGGAGTGTAACAAGCATGCAGGGAGTGTAACAGGCATTCCAAAAGCCAGCATCAGTCTTCAATAAAGGTATGTAATGCTGATTTAATTGTTGTTTGGTAGACAGTAACCACCCAGGGAGGTACTACCGTCCTTCCAGGTGACTGTGAAACAGAAACCTGTAACTATTTTACATGATGATAGGATTGCTGGTGTCTTTTTTCTGTCTCAAACATGCTGGATAACAGGTATATCTTGCTACTTCTACTTACACTTAGGTCACACTACACAGGCATGCACATGCATATACTATATAAATATATACATACACACATCTAGGGTTTTTCTTCTTTTTCTTAATACCTCATGCTCTTGTTTTTTTCTTTTCTCTAATGTCCATGGGGAAGTGGAAAAGAGTCTTTCCTCTGTAAGCCATGCATGTCATATGAGGCGATTAAAATGCCGGGAGCAATGGGCTAGTAACCCCTTCTCCTGCACACATTTACTAAAAATGAGAAGAAAAACTTTATAAAACTGGGATGCTTGAATGTGCGTGGATGTAGTGAAGATGATAAGAAAAAGATGATTTGCTGATGTTATGAATGAAAAGAAGTTGGATGTCCTGGCCCTAAGCGAAACAAAGCTGAAGGGGATAGGCGAGTTTCAGTGGGGAGAAATAAATGAGATTAAGTCAGGAGTATCTGAGAGAGTTAGAGCGAAGGAAGGGGTAGCAATAATGTTGAATGACCAGTTATGGAAGGCGAAGAGGGAATATAAATGTGTAAATTCAAGGATTATGTGGATTAAAATAAGAGTCAAATCTGAAAAGTGGGTCATAATAAGTGTGTATGCACCTGAAGAAGAGAAGAGTATAGAGGAGAGAGATTTTGGGAGATGTTAAGCGAATGTATAGGAACCTTTGAACCAAGTGAGAGAGTAATTGTGGTAGGGGACCTAAATGCTAAAGTAGGAGAAACATTTAGAGAGGGTGTGGCAGGTAAGTTTGGGGTGCCAGGTGTAAATGATAATGGGAGCCCTTTGATTGAACTTTGTATAGAAAGGGGCTCAGTTATAAGTAATACGTATTTTAAGAAAAACAGGATGAGTATACAAGATATGATGTAGGGCGTAATGACAGTAGTTTGTTGGACTATGTATTGCTAGATAAAAGACTGTTGAGTAGACCTCAGGATGTACATGTTTATAGAGGGGCCACAGATATATCAGATTACTTTCTAGTTGTAGCTACAGTGAGAATAAAAGGGAGATGGGATACAAGGAAAATAGAAGCAGCAAGTAAGAGAGAGGTGAAGGTGCACAAACTAAAAGAGGAGGCAGTTAGGGTAAGATATAAACAACTATTGGAGGATAGATGGGCTAGTGAGAGTATAGGCAATGGGGTCGAAGATGTATGGGGTAGGTTCAAGAATGTAGTGTCAAAGTGTTCAGCAGAAGTTTGTGGTTACAGGAAAGTGGGTGCAGGAGGAAAGAAGAGCGATTGGTGGAATGATGATGTAAAGAGAGTAGTAAGGGAGAAAAAGTTAGCATATGAGAGGTTTTTACGAAGTAGAAGTGATGCAAGGAGGGAAGAGTATATGGAGAGAAAAAGAGAGGTTAAGAGAGTGGTGAAGCAATGTAAAAAGAGAGCAAATGAGAGAGTTGGAGATGTTATCAACAAATTTTGTTGAGAATAAGAAAGTTTTGGAGTGAGATTAATAAGTTGTGGAAGAATAGGGAGCAAATAGATTTGACAGTTAAAAATAGGAGAGGAGAGTTATTAAATGGAGAGTCAGAGGTATTGGGAAGATGGAGGGAATATTTTGAGGAACTGTTAAATGTTGATGAAGATAGGGAAGGTGTGATTTTGTGTATAGGGCAAGGAGGAATAACATCTTGTAGGAGTGAGGAAGAGCCAGTTGTGTGTGGGGGAAGTTCGTGAGGCAGTGGGTAGAAAGAAAGGGGGTAAGGCAGCTGGGAGTGATGGGAAAAAGATAGAAATGTTAAAAGCAGGAGGGGATATAGTTTTGGAGTGGTTAGTTCTATTTTTTAATAAATGTATGGAAGAGGGTAAGGTACCTAGGGATTGGCAAAGAGCATGCATAGTTCCTTTGTATAAAGGCAAAGGGGATAAAAGAGAGTGCAAAAATTATAGGGGAATAAGTATGTAGAGTATAGCTGATAAAGTGCATGGTAGAGTTATTATTGAAAGAATTAAGAGTAAGACAGGAGTAGGATAGCAGATGAACAAGGAGGCTTTAGGAAAGGTAGGGGGTGTGTAGACCAAGTGTTCACAGCAAAACATATAAGTGAACAGTATTTAGATAAGGGTAAAGAGTTTTTTTGTGGCACTTATGGATTTGGAAATGGCATACGACAGGGTGGATAGGGGGCAATGTGGCAGATATTGCAGGTGTATGGTATAGGAGGTAGGTTACTGAAAGCAGTGAAGAGTTTTTACGAGGATAGTGAGGCTCAGGTTAGAGTATGTAGGAGAGAGGGAGATTATTTCCTAGTAAAAGTAGGTCTTAGACAAGGATGTGTGATGTCACCGTGGTTGTTCAATATATTTATAGATGGGGTTGTAAGAGAAGTGAATGCTAGGGTCTTGGCAAGAGGTGTGGAATTAAAAGATAAAGAATTAAACACAAAGTGGGAGTTGTCACAGTTGCTCTTTGCTGATGACACTGTGCTTTTGGGAGATTCTGAAGAGAAGTTGCAGAGATTGGTGGATGAATTTGGTAGTGTATGTAAAAGAAGAAAATTAAAAGTGAATATAAGAAAGAGTAAGGTTATGAGGATAACAAAAAGATTAGGTGACGAAAGATTGGATATCAGATTGGAGGGAGAGAGTATGGAGGAGGTGAATGTATTCAGATATTTAGGAGTGGATTTGTCAGCAGATGGGTCTATGAAGGATGAGGTGAATCATAGAATTGATGAGGGAAAAAGGGTGAGTGGTGCACTTAGGAGTCTGCGGAGACGAAGAACTTTGTCCGTGGAAGCAAAGAGGGAAATGTATGAGAGTATAGTTGTACCAACACTCTTGTATGGGTGTGAAGCATGGGTGAGGAATGTTGCAATGATGAGAAGGCTGGAGGCAGTGGAGATGTCATGTCTGAGGGCAATGTGTGGTGCGAATATAACACAGAGAATTTATTATTATTTTTATTATTAACGCACTGCCCGATTCCCACCAAGGCAGGGTGGCCCGAAAAAGAAAAACTTTCACCATCATTCACTCCATCACTGTCTTGCCAGAAGGGTGCTTTACACTACAGTTTTTAAACTGCAACATGAACACCCCTCCTTCAGAGTGCAGGCACTGTACTTCCCATCTCCAGGACTCAAGTCTGGCCTGCCGGTTTCCCTGAATCCCTTCATAAATGTTACTTTGCTCACACTCCAACAGTGCGTCAAGTATTAAAAACCATTTGCCTCCATTCACTCCTATCAAACACGCTCACGCATGCCTGCTGGAAGTCCAAGCCCCTCACACACAAAACCTCCTTTACCCCCTCCCTCCAACCAACAGAGAATTTGTAGTTTGGAAATTAGGAGAAGGTGTGGGATTACCAAAACTATTATCCAGAGGGCTGAGGAGGGGTTAAGGTGGTTCAGACATGTAGAGAAAATAGAACAAAACAGAATGACTTCGAGTGTGTATAAATCTGTAGTGGAGGGAAGGCAGGGTAGGGGTCGGCCTAGGAAGGGTTGGAGGGAGAGGGTAAAGGTGGTTTTGTGTGCGAGGGGC